CAGGCCCTGGGTCAGGCCTGGGGATCCAGGAGAAGTTGAACTTTCCTGCTGGTAAGGTTAAACAAGGTCACAGGACTGACAGATCATGGCAAGTCTTGTGGGAAGAGGAGAAAAAGGGCTTCCTGGAGGAGGCATTCCCATGTAGCCAGATGCTCCTTCACAACTGTGCTCTCCTCCCTCCCAAGATGTGCTGGGCTGCATGCCCCAGTGTCCCTGAAATTCCCTGTGGCCACATGTCCCCGCTGTGGGATAGGATGTGGGCTGATGCGTGTGCCCCTCTGAGCCTAGCCCATCAATAACCCAAACTCTTTTTCCTCTGAATAAAGACGACCCCCCCCCTCCAGAGCAATCTTGAGGTCCACTGTAGATTCAGCCTTGGTCCAGAAGGACTGAGTTGAAGGGCAGCTGCCCACCCAGAATTGTTAGGAGTAAGAACTTACTAGCTACTTGCCAATTACTTGTAACATCCCCCTTGTTACAGTAGCCACAGTGAAGCCTGAAAGCCTGTGGTGGGTTTTTAAATGTAACTTTTTCCCTTCATACCTTTAACAACTACATGTGGTTTTATTAGGGCTAAATCGTCAGTGCTGTCACAGCTTAATCCTTTATTTAATCCTTAACTGGAGATATACTCCTGACCAGGATTGGAATATTCTCATTCATTAATTAGATCAATCTTTCTTCCACTCCCTGCCCCACCCCCAACAGGTGATTTCTAGCCAAGGGAGCAAGCAGCAAGCTTAGCCAGGGCGTTGACCAAACTAAGGACGCCAGGAAGCAGCCCCAAACCTTGCCAGGGGCAATTGGACAGATCCCCAGCTTCCTCACCCCTCGGTGCAGTCAATTTGTAACAGGGTGGTCCCCAGGAAAGGGGGAGGTTCCCTGCCCCACCCAAGGGAGGGTGGAGCTGAGCAGGAAGAGGAGAAGCTGGAGAAGAGACTGAGGAAGGAAGGAAGCAGGATGGAGCCAGGAGACCTGGAGGAGGCACATGGAGCCTAGAGACACGTGAAGAAACTGCCTTGTCTTTTGGTCGTGGACTGGGTGACACAGATGTGGGTGAGACCCGTGGGGAGGTGACAATGGCAGCTTTTATCTTAATGTTGATTTTGCTCTTTTCCTTCCGGGCTTGTCCGGTTGTTTGTGACCCTTTTCTGTGGGTCCCCACTGGAAGATGCTTTAGACTTGTGGCAGGCTTTGGGGCCTTGTTCTGGGCCGATCCCATATGGATGGACTTTTACCCAAGAGGGGACGGGTAACTTTGGGTGCTTAATTTAGAAACTAGATTATTTGCCTTTCCTGTATTGTTTCCTAGTTTTATTAAAGTTCCTTCCCATTAAAGTCTCATATGTTTTGTGTTGATGCGGCGGATGGCAGAACCCATTTAAAATAGGCAGGCTTGCGGGGTTTGGGCTGCCCCTCTCTCTGTCCTATAACAAATTCAGACACAGCCTCTGGGGTTCCACTGGGGGACTGAGCTCCAGGCCTATAGCCTGCTAACCTGCCGGCTCTGCTTCCCTCACTTGTTTTGTGCACTTGCCTCCCCAGTTTTCCTGGAATCTCTTCCCAAATAAACTACTTGCACGTAAATCTTTGTCTCAGAATCTGCTTCTGGAGGAACCCTAACCCAGAGCAGAGTTCAGAGGCAGCAAAAAAGGGTGTTGCAGTAGTCTGAGGTTAGTAGCAAGGAGTCATTGTCCTTTGAGAAAGGAGCAAGAGGAAACTGGAGAGGGGGTGGTAGCGAGAGGGCCCCCTGCTAGGCGCCTTGGGGGAGACACAGCTGGCTCAGTGATGGGGTGTGGGGATGGGGTGCAGAGGGAATAAGTAGCCTGACTCCTCCCTCCATCTTTTGATCTGCTGGTGCCCTCTACTGACCAAACCCCTAGGACTAGTGGTCAAGCTGCCTGGCATAGGGCAGCAGAGAAGGGAGAGATGCACCCAGAGGGGCAAAGAGAAGGTTGGCAGCACAGGCCAATTATGTCTGAGTCTGAGCAGCTTGCAAAGCAGAATCTTGATAGTCCACTCCGAGAAGCCTCTCTGGGCATCAGATGGAGTTACCTAAGATCTGGAGCACGGTGGGGCTGGGGTGCGTAGGAGGGTCCATTACTTACTGCTCAACAATCCACCCAAGACCTGGTGGTTTCGAACAACGAACCTTTTATTATACAGGCACAGCTCGGCGATATTGTGGGTTTGATTCCAAACCACATAATATAGAGTATCTCAATAAAGCAAGTCACACACATTTTTTTTTTTTGGTTTCCCAGCATTAATAAAAGTTCACACTAGGGCCTCTCTGGTGGCGCAGCGGTTGAGCGCTGGGTTGCGAAGCTGCCCGCGGCCTCTGCAGCACCAGTTCAATTCCCGGCCGCCCGGGAGGGTCCCATATGGCGCGCAGACCTCTCCTGCCGCCTGCTGCTCCCCTCAGCAGTGTACTTCGTCAGTCTGCCTGTTCTGTTCCCCGCTCTGGTGAATTCTCTCACCCTCCAGCACTTCTGACTGTACCCAGTGCTTGTATAAATAAATAAATCTTAAAAAAATTCACACTGTACTGCACCCCATTAAGTATACGATGGCATTATGACAAAAACTATGGACATACCTTAAGTGGGACATATTTATGGGAGCATGCACAGACTGGGGGGGGTAAAAAGGGGGTCCATAGCCACTCAACACAGGGTGGTCACAAACCTTCAATTTTTTGTAAAAAAAGAAAAAAACTGCAAAGGAAAGTACAATAAAATGAGGTATGCTTGTGTACTATGATTTTATAGATCAGGAATCCGGGCAAGACTCAGCTAGGGAATTTCCAGAGCATGGCAAAAGTCAGCTGGTCTGACGCAGGGGGCCCCACCTAGCTCCACTAATGTTTGGAGTCTTGGTTGAAAGGCAGCACTCAGCCTGATGGCTTCTAGGTAGCTGGACTTCTTGCATAGTAACCTAAAGGGAATGTTCCAGAGGTTGCTTGGCCCTAATAGAAGCTTTAAGGGTTGTTCTGACCTAGGCTCTAAGTCCAGGAATGTCACCTCTATCACATTCTGCCAGTCGAGTCACTCAGGCCAGCTCTAATACCAAAGGAGAAAAATTGGACTCTACCTTGCAGTGGGAAGAAGAGCAAAGAACTTGAACCTGTGCCGTCAGAAGTGATGGTTCTGACAGTGCAGAGGGACTCAAATGTCCTCACGGCAGAGGAGATGGTCATAAGGTGGAGAGTAAAGGGTTTAGATTCAGGTTCAAATCCCAGCTCTGCCACTTAAAACACCTGGGCCAAGCAGGCTCTTCTCCCTCAGTGTCCTCATCCTGAAATGAGACCAGCTCCATCGTGAGACTTGTTATAACGAGTGGACAGTTCCATGATGCACTGCCCAGCGTACCTGACTCCAAGTTGTCTCAAATGAAGTTATTTACCCTGAGTGAATGGAGCCTAGAAAAGGACCTTATATAAAACTTCTGTGGCTTCAACAGTGCATTAGAATTTTTTTTACTCCATTTCCCACATACAACCCAACCCCACCCAGCTCCACCTGATCTTATCCCCTGGATGGTAGCTAGTATGGTTTCTCCTCCTCCCCCAAAGTCACCACCATCTCCAGGGGCTGTGCCTCCTTTCTGGTCTCCCACACTTCCTCTGGCACCTCTGAAATGCCCTCTCACGGCAAACCTGTACAAGAACCACCTGAGGCCTTGATGTAGATTCTAGTTGGGTAGACCTGGGGTGTGGGGCTGAGAGTCTGCACTTGTCCTCAGCTGCAAGGGGCTGCTCCTGAGTCCCAGATCACTTTGACTAGCTGGAAAATACCTTTTTCCAAGTAAAAGTTGGCGCCTATGGTGCCTCCATGTAAAACCCTGCAATGATTTTCTAGTGTTCTCGGGGATCCAGACCAACCCCTCACCATGACTCACTGGCTGCTGTGATCTAGGTCTTATCTGGTTCCCCAGCCCCTTGTCCTCTACTCCCCTTATTGATTTGTTAATTTATAAGATGAGAGAAAGCCGACCATTGACCATTGCACCAAGTACTGGCACATCACCAGTAACCTGAATATCCTAGTATTTCTCCCTTCTCGTCCTCCAATGCACTTGCCACTTACCTGAGCTAACCATTCTTCTGGAACTTGTGCTCACCTGTGCCTCGCTGTACTTTTGCCCTTCGAACACGCGTCTAGACATGCCTATTTTGGTTGTGCTTTTTACTATACTTTCTAAAAGTTACCCCATATTGTGTAGTGTTCTGCAATCTCCCACTCAACTCGTTCCTGAGACAGCAGCACTGTTTGCAGCTGAAGTTCCGTTTCTCTGCTGTATTTTCCCTGGCGTGACTGTCCCACAATTTGTTGGGCCACGGTGAACCTTTGGGGGTGTTTCCAAGGTTTTTGCTATGAATAGTACTAGTGTGAACAATCTTGAACCAGTTCTCCAAATGCACAGAGCAAGTTTCTCAAGGTAAATGCCCAGAAGGGGATCCGCTGTGTTCCCACCTCCCCTCTGGGATCTGGGATCTGGGTTCCCGGGCTCCTTTCATGCCCCCTCTCCCTAGGGTGGCCCAGAAGGGCCTCTCCACCTGGGGGGTGCCCCGCGCCTCCCCACCCACCTCAACTTCTTTACTTGGCGAACTCCTTCAGGTCCTCAGAAGCCTTCCCGACCCGCGGCGGCTCCCTGGCTGCACGGATGGAGCGTGGGCATGCGAGGGCGGGAGGAGCCGGCCCCACGAGGCTTGGAGCTCGGGGTGCTCGCTCAGGCCTGGCTCAGCAGGCGCCGGAGCGGCCGAGAGCGCGCCCGAGGGAGCGGGAGGCGCCTGCGCCCACAGGTGGCTCCAACCCGCCGCCCCGAGGCCAGGGTTTTGGCGGGCCAAGGTCCTGATCCCCGAGGGACCCATCTGTCCGTGCTGCTGGACGGGGTTCCAGGAAACGCGCGGCCCGGCGGGGCGGGGCCGGGGGAGGGCCCGGGGCGCAGGGGCGGGCCGGGGGCGGGCCCGGGCCCTGTTAAGAAGAGCGTGGCGGGCCCGGGAAGCTCACCCACCACCCGCTCGGCGGAGACCCACGAACACTCAGCGGAGGGAGCAGCGCGGCGACGCACGCTGGGCACCATGGCCCAGACCTTCGACAAGCCCAAAGTGAGCGCGGGCGGGAACTCGGGGTCGGGGTGTGGCTGCTTGTCTGGCACGGGGTCTAGGGGCTTCCACATGCACCGCGCCAAAGCTGGCCCTTGCAGACGCTCCCTCCCCCCGGCTCAGGCTCCCTCCCCACTCCAGGCATTTAATGAGTCAGGGGGCTTGGGAGGGTCCTGAATCCCGAGGCACCCCTGGCTATCCTGCTTCTGCGCCCGACTTGGCCTCCCTGGCCTCACTTTCACTACCTGTCAAACAGGCGTCCTGTCCTCAACAGCGCAGAATGGCCTTATAACCTTAGCAGGGGGCTTGGCCTCCCTGGACCGCAGCTGTAAACTGAACCCAGTGACTACGCCCACGGGCACCCAGTGTGCCTAGTGCGTGCTCCTCACTTAGCAACTGGAAACAGCTTTACTTCCAACACTGATGGCTTTGTGAAGAGAGGGTGAGCCATGCCAGGAGAGGGAGGTGTCCCCCTCTACTAGGGCCAGAGGGGTTGGCTGGACCTTGGTCTCTGGTAGGGCTGACTCTGGGCCCAGCATGGCCACTGGCCCCGTGAGTAAAGCCTTTCTCTCACAGAAGTGGTGGTGTCTTGAGAGTGGCTGGGTCGGAGAGGGTCTGGGCCCACTTGGCTGGCCTCTGAGCACAGGTTAAGACCAGAGAAGGGAGGGACCCAGCAAAGTGAATCAGCTAGTAGGGTTTGAAATTGCTGGGGCTGGTGGATCAGGAGGTGAGGGAGTAGGCTGCAATTAGCCTCAGCTTACCCTTCTGACAAGTAGATGTGATTGAAAATGGCAGATGTGACATGTTGATGAGAATCCTGTGTGTGTGATGGGATGAAAAGGCTCTCCAAGGAGGTAAGGCCTTACCCTCTTCTCCCCATCACTGCTGATGGCCCCACCACAGGGCAGAGGCTTCAAGCCCAATGTTGCAAGTGCTGGATACTTCACCCCAATGCCTCCTTCACACCTTGTCTGGATGCCCCCTTTGGTCCTGCTTCCCTATGGAGGCTTTTTCTTCCAGTGCTTTTGGATTCTCTGCCTTGGGCTGTGAAGCCTCCTTACCCTGGTGTGAACCCTAAGGCAGTAGGCAGAGCCCCTCAATGGGCGTGAAATGGGAGGAGGAAGATGCACAGTGGTCCTTGTGACAATTGGAAAACAGGCCTGTGAGGGAGGGACAGTTACTAGTCCCATTTTTTGACCTCACCCAGTTCTGATTCAAGGTGGCAGGTCATTTCCTTTCAGTTTCCATCCTTGAGAAATGGGCTGCACCTGCTTGAGGGGTGTCCAGAAATTAAAAGGTGACACTTGAGAGGGAAGGTGTTCGTGAGGGCTGATACAGTCTATTATGCAGAGAGGTGGGAAGCGAGGAGCCTTGAAGCCACCGTGACCAGGGCTGGCTCCCTGCCTTCCCAGGGACAGAGCAGGTGATAAGAACTAGCCTCTGTAGCTGGAGCTTGGTTTTCACTCTGGGCCATGCACCATCTGAACCTCTTATCTGCACGAATCATTTGATCTTGGCAACAACTCTGGGTGCAGGTGTCTTCCACTTTATAGATGAAAAAAGAGGCACCAAGAAGTTCATGAGGCCTAAAATGAGAGGCACCTGGGATAGGAGCCCACCTTTGGGGATGGAGGGACCATGCCCTTGTGCTACCTCTCATCCTTGCACCTGGTGAGGCCCAGGACCTGGCCGTCTTTGGACGGTGCTCGCCTGCTCTGTCTTAAACTTAAATGGGTCCTCAAGACACCTGAGACTTGAAGGCCAGCCTCAATCATAGGTTGAAGCTCCTCCTGGAGATGCTGATCATCCACAGGCCACACATTAGGGAGCAAGGCCCGAAGCAGCTGCCTGCCTGGCTAGTTATTTAAATTCTCACTTCCTGTGCACTTGTGGGGCTCAGCACCGAGATGGTGCTGAGGCAAGGCTGGAAAATCCCAGAGCCTACACCTACGAGTCAGGTGCCAGTTAACAATAATAACCACGGCTCATTTTGAGTGTCCAGGAGGCCCGGGCTCCTTGGGTGATTATCTCACAGAGTTACTATTCCCTAGACAGCTCCACAAAGCAGATGTTTTCCTCCCCAGTTGCAGCTAAAGAAACTTGAGGCCCACAGACACCCACAGTCAGAGCCTTTAAGCTGTGGAGCCAGCTGGGCCTGTCAGAAGGGCAGCTCTAAACTGTCTTCCTGATGCAGGCCAGAGTGGCTGCTAACTCTTCCAACTTTTCAATTCTCATATTTAAGCAGTTTCTCCCTAGCAGGTACAGTCCTAACTAGTGCATCGCTATTAACTTGTGTAATGCTCACAACAGCCCTGGAGGTGGGACCTTTTATCTTCATTGATATGTGAGGACACTGAGACTTAGGGAAGGAACTTGTCAGTCAGAAAGCAGCAGAACTAGACTAAAACTGGAGTTGATGCTGTTCATGGTGCTAATTGCCTTTCCTACTTCTTCAGGGTGGCCTTGGGCCTCAGATACTAGGCGTGGACCCCTGTGCCTCCACCTAATGGCTGAGGGCTCAGATGGGCAGTCTGAAGCCGCTTTCTTCTGTGAGATAGGCTGATGAAAGCCAGCTTCTCTTCAGAGGGAGCTGACGTGCTTGTGAAGTGACCTAAGTGTGGCCCCTTCTCTGGGATGGTGGGCTCTGGGATCCCTTCCACCTGCACTGTGCCGCCCTCTGGCTTTCCTGCCATCAAAGCCCTCTGCCAGCGCTGCTGTGGGCATCCAGTGCTTTGAAGTAACCAGAGCCACCTGCTAAAAGAAAATAGGCCCAGGGAAGAGCTCGCCTCAGAGGCAACTTACGTGAGAGGGAATGAATGAGGTTGGGTTTCACTGAAGCCTTTTGAGAGAGGAAGCAAGGATCAGAGAGGGAAGTGTGGGTTCTATGGTCACATAGCAAGCCGACCTCTTGATATTCTGCCTGACTTTAGGGTGGGCTTGGCTGGAGTGAGAAAGGCCCTGTAAGGTTGGGAGGACCTTGTCCACCTGTTCACTTGACCTAGGGGGGTGCCCTCTGGGACTGGGAAGACGGGAGGAGAGTAGACCAGGGGTCAAAGGAAGGTTGGAACATATTTACCGAGACTATTGGGTAATACTCTCACCCCTTACGGTTCTCAGACCCAGAAGCTGCAAAGTGGGGGGAAGGACCACCTTCAAGTTCCTGTGACCAGAGAAGCTGAAACTTGGGCACTAGCTGGGGCCCGATTGCTTGGGTCTGAGTGCTGATACCCCCACTTATCAGTGAGGGGGATTGATTACCTAACTGCCGTGTCTCGATTTGCCCATCGGTGAAATGGGAATTATTCTAAGTATTCACCCCACAAAAAACCTCAAGGACGGGCCTGGCACAGGGGGCTCACTGTGCCATGGCTATTACTCACCATCCCGGTCAGGGCTCTAATTGTTCTGTTTAGATTTTACCAGCTGACTCAGCACAGATGCATTTGCAGGTGGAAGGGAGAGTGGTGTGGGCATTGTGACCTCTGACTTTTGAGTCAGCTTCCTGTACCCTAATCTCTGAGCATAAGTGTTCTCACCGTTAAAATGGGGGTGGTTACTGCACTGAGTGCCTACACTGTTGTCCCCCCAGATGTCTCCTAGACAAAGTCAAAACAGAGCCTTACCTTCCCAAAACCCCTAGGGAAGGTTGCAGCAGCAGAGTCAGGCCCCACGTCAGCAGGAGGCTCTGAGGAACTGACTGCTCCCCCTTCAAGACTGCTCCTTCCTTGAAGCTGCAGGAACCCAGGCAGGGCTGAATGGCGAGGACTTCCTGGAGGTGGTGTGACTAAAGCAACTTGTCATCTCAGAACTGTTGTCCTGGCCTCACCCTGAAAATTAGCATCAAAGAGGGTTTTGAGCTCTGGTTACTGCTCAGCTCAGGGCCAAGAGCAGGGCTGGGAAGAGGTCTGATTGGTGATGGGCACCCATGGTTCTTCTAAGTCCTGAATATTGTGCCCAGGTCCTGGGCACTGATCAGGCAACCCTGGCCATTCTGCCCTGTCTGGGTTCTCTGCCAGCCCCTTCCTTGAGACAGAGGACCTAGCCCTGCTGACAAAGGACAGAAGAGAAAAAAATAATCAGTCAATCAACACCTACTGAGCCCTTCTTGCTGTGCTGGGCCCTGGCCTGGGCACCAAGGGCACAGCAGAGTAGGTCTGATCAGTAAGTGAACTTAAAAGCTAATGGGTGAACAAGGAGACAGTGATGGATTTTGGAGCGCTGGGGGCAGCATGCTGGGGGATGCCTTGGTGGGCAGCCCTACCACCCACTGGCAGTCGTGAGCAGGAGTCACATCCGGGCCTGTTTGTCCCAAGAGTCTAAGACCTGGGTCCCTACCTGGGCTCTGCCTTGATACCTTGGGTGAGGGGGACTGCCCTTCTCTGGGCGTCACCTGGATGGCTGGCATTTCCTAGGAAAACTGGCATGTTTGCTCTTGCCCCCACAGTGCCCACACCTACTGGGGGGATAGTCAGTATTCACCGATAAGTGGAGAAGCTTCCTGTTCAGGTGGGGAAGATTTCCTGCAATTCTGACGGATGCTGACTGAGTCAGCCTCGCGGAGAGCGGAGCAAGAGCCAGGGAAGAGGGCATGAGGTCTCCGGAGAGATCAGGAGGCTGCGTGCAGGCCTGGGGCAAGTGCCAGGGAAGTCGTGTGGTCTGTGGGCAGGACTTAGCTTAGAGGTGGAGAGGCTTGGGTTGCAATGCAGCTTGGCTAGTACCAGTCTGTGACCCTGGGCGGGTCCTGCAATTTCTGCCCTTAGCTTGGTGAGTCCCTTTCCTGGCCTGCAACATGGCGCTAATGTGTGCCTTGTCTAGGGATTAAGATTAAATGAGATAAAGGGTCTGTATAAGAGGAAGCTATTTTTACGGTTGTTGTGGTTGTATTTACATCTGAGCCTGTGAGAATGTAGGCAGCTCTTAGGAGCCCATGTCTTCTGGGCTTCTGCTTGTGCTGCTGCTGGGCGACCAGGTGGCCCTTGGCCCCACCTTATACCCAGCAGCCCCCTGTGCTTCTTAGAAGACCTCCCAGAAAAACCCTGGCAGTGTCTCATGGGCCGGCCATGTCTGCCTGTGCCCTTGCAAATCCTTATGATTGTTTTTGCACAGGGAAGCAGAAATAGCCTGTTTTTTTTTTTTTTTTTTTTAGTTGAGAAAACTGAGGTTCAGAAATGAAGACCAGAAAAGGGCCAGAGCCAGGAGGGGGCACCTGGCAACCTGACTCTAAAGCCCTCACCCTTAACTCTTGGCTCTGTGCCGTGAGACGCTTATGGGCTGAGCAGAGTTGATGATCACCAAGGTATCAGGTGCTCTTAGAGTTCTGGAAACATCTGCATTGCCCAGTAGATTCCTGATAAGCTATGCTTAAGTCAAGCCTGCTTTCGAGAATGGCACCTGCTTTCGAGAATGGAGCCTAACTATTGAGATTGTGGACATTCAGCAATCCAGGAAGTCTATGGCCAACACTTTGAAGTTGGGTTTCATCTCATGGGTTGGTTGAGAGCAGGATCTGCCTGTGTGGTGCCCAGGGTTCAGCGGGCTCCTACAGGAGCAAGACAGGCCCTGGCCTTAAAAGCACAAGCTTCAGGGGCCTCTCTGGTGGCACAAGGGGTTAAGATGAAGCACTATGAAGCTATCCACAGCCTCTGCAGCACAAGTTCTATCCCCGGCCAGCCAGGGAGCTACCCACATGGCGCAGCAGACCTCTCCTGTCTCGCCCATTGCTCCCCTCAGTCAATCTACCTGTTCTACTCCCTACTCTCTGGTGAATACTCACCCCCCCAACACCTCTGGTCTGTACCCCAGTTCTTGTATGCATAAATAAATCTTAAAAACCCACAAGCTTCATGGGCCTCCCCTGGTGGCGCAGCAGCTGGGCACTGGGTTGCGAGGCTGCCCACAACCTCTGCAGCGCCAGTTTGATCCCCGGCCACTGGGCGAGGGTCCCACAAAATAAATAAAAATTAAAAAATAAAGTAAAAAAAACACCCCACAAGCTTCAGAAAAAAAAAAAAACAAAAAAAATCACATAATTCGGAACAGGGCTCAGGTTAGGGTTCTGGCTCTGCCAGCTGTGCTTAACACAGGCTCTGTTGGTTCCTGCTTCTGCCACTTGCTGTGTGGCCTTGAACAAGTAATCTAACTCTCTGGACTTCAGCATTCACAGCTGAAACATAACAATGAAGCACATCCCGCAGATGAGGATTAAATAAGATGGTGTGAAAGTTCAGTGAGTGTGTAAGTGTCCAGTATGTAGTGACTAGTCATCCTGGTTCACATTAGCACCGACCCAGGGTTACCAGCGACCCCCTGGGAGGCTCTTCAGGCTTCATGCAGGTTTATTCTGTCTTCCCTTTGCAGGTGGAGCTGCACGTCCACCTTGATGGAGCCATCAAGCCAGAAACCATCTTATACTACGGCAAGTAAGTCCATGGATGGGGGGAAAAAAAAAAAAGGACCGTCTTCCCCAGGACTTGGGTGGGGTCCACAGTCAGGCCTGGAGGCCTCTGGACGGCCAACGGCCATTGCTTTCTTCCCGCATCCCTGTGGGATTAAGTCTTTCTCTGGGGTAGAGGTGTTTGGTAGGAACTGGAGGCCTCAGCTCTAAGTTAGACTCACAGCCCACATCGTCTGCCTTCTGGGCCTCTGGCTTCGCTCCTGCTGCCCAGTGAGGCCACACGGACACACGAGGACACATGGAGGCAGCTCCAGGGCTGAGCCGGTCACTGTTTCACTCGGCAGCAGCTGTGGTCTCACTGACCGGGCCCCCTCAAGTGTTTGCTGCCCCCCCTTATATGGACGAGGGTATTGGCGGTGCTAACCCACCTTCCAAAGGGAGAGCAGACTCTGAAGTGCAGCAGCTACAGAGGCCACACTGCAGTGACTGGTAGAGCCGATGGGTGACCTGTGGCAGCTGATCCCCAAGGCTTGTCCTCGACCATCATGGAAAATACTGAAGTCCCCCTGCACCTCCTGAAATCTCCATCCCTTCTAATGAGAGTGTTCCTTCTGCCTCAGCTCACGATGTGATAGGCTAAGAGATCCCCCCAGTCTGCCCTGCCACATACCCCCTCAAGGATTCATAGTGGCCCCTCCTGGGTCCTGTGCTTCAGGGCAGGGACTGTGGAGGCCAGTGGGTCTGGATTCAAACCCAAATGCACATCTCCTTGCTGAGATCTTGGCCTTGTACTTTTAGGGTAAGAACAGCCTTCCTCCTGATCTGGACCTGGAGGTGTGGGGGTCCCTCCTACCCGCCGCCCTCCCCCTGCAGGCCAGTGTTCTATCTGGTTCGTCCCCATCTCTTGTTTGGGAGGCTTATGCTTCCCCATGTTGCCTTGAGCTCGTCCACTTGGACCCAGAATAGAGCCTTCTGCTCCATAAACAGAGGCCCTCGCGTGTCAGGAAGAGCCTGGGGGCCTGGGGAGTTTGGCTCCTGGGATGCACTCGGGAGCATCTCCTGCTCCCCAAGAGCAGAGGCCGAAGACCCTCCTCTATCCTGTCACAATTCTGGACTCTTCTGTCCTGGGAAGCAGCCTTTTGACTTAATGTCCTCATCCTATTGGTAAATTAACTCCCCGCCAGCACCGCCTTCAGGCTGAGGCGCCGCACCCTCGCAGCTGGGAGGCAGACTCTGCCCCGTTTCACCGAGGAGGAAACTGAGCCACGATGGGCGGGCGAGGTGACTTGCTGGGTGAGCCCCAGGCCACACCCTGCCCGTGACCCCACGCTTGGCTCGAGGACTGGTGAAGTAATGAGGGGGAAATGAGGCACTAAGTGACTTATAAGTGTCCATTAATTGATGTTACAGCCTCTCGGCTCTAGTTAAGTGGGCAGAAGCTGCTGGCTTATCTCTGCCCGTCCTTTGCCCGTGGTGCCTCCAGTCATTGCCGTGGCCCTAATGAGGTCATTAGGACCAGTTATTGGGCTCCTTGATGGGATCTAATCTCAGGCGCTGATTTGGGGGTCATAGGGTGCTCATTAAGTGGGAGGAGAAGGGTGGGGTGTAGGGAAAAGGGAGAGGAGTCACCCCTGTGGGGTGGCTGATGGGGTGGACCGTTTCTCTCAGCCGCCTGGGTGTCTGGGGAGGTGCCAGCTGGAGCTGGCGCTCCCGTCGGATAGAGTGAGAGTTGACCAGACTCAGACATGGACTCCCGGTTGGGGGGAGGAGAGCCTCTGGCTGTGACCCCCTCATCCAGCCAGGCCTCATCCAGTGACCGCCTGCCTTGGTGATTTGGGCCCCAGTTGACCATGCCCTTTTCTTCCTCCTTCAGTTCCTCTGATTCCTTCCTCTTGGGGGGGGGCCGAAGGGAGGTTTGCTGCTTTCGCTTTCTCAGCTTCCTTCAAGGCCCTGTCAGCTCTTTTTCCAAAGCACAGTCTGAACCTGGCTGCTTTTTCCTTCCTGGTCTGAGCCACCAACATCCCTCTCCGGGGCTGTGGCCAAGGCCTCCGCACTGGTCTCCAGGTGTCCACTGGCCGCCTCTGCCTACTGTCCCTCAGTACTGTAGTCAGAACCTCTGAGCTCGCTGCCCTGTTCAGCCCGGCCCCCTTATGCCCACCCTGCTCGGGGTCGGAGCCAATGTTTATATATGGCCTTTCAAGTCCCACAGAGCCCTCTGACCTCTTCTGCTCCTTGCTTAGTCCCCAGTGGGTGTTTTTCAAACATGCCAGACATAGTAAACAGAGAGGTTGAGTAACTTCCCCAAGGTCACACAGCCTTTAACAACTGGAATTTAAATTGGGCCATCAGGTGTCAAAGTCTGCCTGCCCCCAAACACATACATCATCTTATTTGTGCCTCTGTGCCCTGAAAAGAAAATACTGTTTGTTAACGAGGACACAGAGGACTTCAGAGGGGACTGTTCCTGCCCAGGGTGATAAGACAAATAAAGGAAGGGAGTGGACTACGAACACCAAAGTCTTGGCTCATCCTGCCTTGCTGGGCGCTCTGTGTGAGGCTCCCTGTAACTGCCTCACTCACAAGGTGGGCCGAGAACTGGCCAGTGCCCCGGGGCATGGCTGTGACTGACCAGGGAGGTAGAACAGTGAAGAGAACAGTGTGGCTTGGGAAGGCAGGAGGAGCAGGGCCCTGGAACAACTCCTGCCTGCTTCAACTCTGGGCCCCTGACAGGAGCTTTGCAGCTGTGTGAGCAGCGCCAGGAGGCCCTGTCATGGGAGATGCCGGAGTCGCTGTGCTGCTTGTTTGCTGCGGGGCCTTGAGCAGCTCTGGGTCTTTTGTCCTGGTTTCCTTCCAGTCCCTGAGCAGTGCCAGAAGCAGCTGTTAAAGTGAATCACTTCATGCTGCTCCCTGCCTGAGCTCCTCCAGTGGCTTTTTGGTGCCTTCAGGATAAAGCCCCACCCCCTACTAGGCCACCAGCAGCCCTGCCTTGGCTGGTCAGCTACTACCCACTGGCTCTGAATCCAGCCTTTGCCCTGCCCGTCCCTCTGCCTGGAGTCGTCTTCCTCTCCCTCTGTTCCTCTTCCCTTGTCTGCTCTTCTGCTTAAAGATGGCCCCCGAGAGGTCTTCTGGCCGCTCTCATCAAAAGATCCCCCAGTAGCTGTTGATGAGGCTGGAGAGGAAGAGACTAATGGGAGGGATATTTAGGAAGTTTAAAAAAAAAGACTTGGGGGCTGGCTGCAGTGGGCAGGGGTGATGGAATCAGGGGAAGGTCCCTGTCTGGCCGGGACAGGTGGAATGCGGAGCCCGGAGGGGAAGGGTAGTCTGACGCACCTGCCTTCTGGGGGTGGTCTCTGCTGTCCATCCAGTGCCCAGCCCTTTGTAGGCCTCACGGTGGTGCCTGTGTGAAGGTGGGGGTTGGGGGCTGTGGCCCACCGGACCCGGAGAGGACAGACGTTCACCTGGACAGGTGGGAAGATCACATGGGCCCCTGCATTTGGCAATACGAGAGCCAGAACCTGCGTGTCACCCCTCTGGCCCCCACTGGCTCCCAGCAAGCTGTGCAGTGACTGTAACAGCCTCTGCAGGGGGCAGCTCCTGGGGGGCCATGAGGGTGGCTGGGGCAGGCTGGCCAGCGGTGGTCCAACATTAATCTCCGGGTGCAGGGCCACATCGGGGCACCATGCCAGAGTCACCGGAACAGCCAGTAGGCATCAGGGAGACCCCTGGGGTAACTGCTGGTCATTAATAAGAACTCGGACATCCCCCAAAATGAGGAAGGGGCACATTTTAGGGGGCTTTGTCGGACAATGTTTTAATAACAGCTGTCAGAGGACTTGAACTCTGGTTAAACTTCATTTCTTTAGGGATTTCCCCCCTTCTGTCCTGGATCCGTGGCTAAGCAGATAACTGAACTATCTGATTTAATCAACTAATTTTTATCTTCTGGTCTTTTTGTTCTGCTTGCTGGACTTTCTCCGTTTTATTTTCCATTCCTTTTATGACATCCCGACGCTGCTGCCACGCTCTCAGGTGGCCGAGAGTGCTGTGCTTTCTTACTCCCAGGCCCCTTTTTTTAAAAAGGGCTCTTCTTGCCTCAGGGAGGTCACATCCCCCCCAATCCTTGAGGATGTTCTTTGTAGGGTTTTTAAGTTTTCCTCTGTCATCTGAACTGTTTGCTAAGTTCAGTTGGCTGCTGCTTGTCCCTCCCCAGAGAAGCATTTCTTGAATGTCTGGAGTTCTTTGCCTGTCCCTTTTATCTTAAAAGTGGAAAAACAGAGGCCATGCATGGGCCAGAGCAAGGAAGGAGCACCACCCAGCCTGGCACCTGGATGCTGGTGGCTGGGAGGGGGGCCTCAGCCAGAAGGACTTTTCTTAGCAAGGCCTGGGTGAGCGGTGGCCGCAGGCCAATTGGGCGGGACCTGGGGCAGGGGTGAAAGCGAGCTCCGAGGTGGACATCCAGCTGCCAGCACACTGGGCCAAGCCAGGCATATCAATGCCTGGTGGCCAGACAGAGGAAGTTCTGCTTCTGCCTGGGACATTTGTGGTGCTGCAGCTGTTGTCCCCAATAACCCCTGACCTCTGACATAGGGCCAGCTGGGGCTGGGGAAGAAGCTGAGGGCCTGTCCCTAGGCACAGTCCCTATGAACACACAGGCCCCTCTTGTCTCCCTTGAGACTTACTGGCTGGTTGTGGGCCCGGGGAGAGGCAGTACAGGAAGGACTCGGTCCTGGTTCTCTATGCCCTGAGCCTCAGTTTCCCTTTCTGCCCAGTGGGAGGAGGAGGGAGGTAGATGGACAGATTTCCTACTGGGGTCCTCTGAGGGTTCTGGGGGTCCTGCTTAGGCAGTCTACCACCCTAATTTTTTGTCCCCAGGAAAAGGGGGGTCGCCCTCCCTGCTGACACGGTAGAGGGCCTGAAGAACATCATCGGCATGGACAAGCCGCTCTCCCTCCCGGGCTTCCTGGCCAAGTTCGACTACTACATGCCTGCCATTGCGTGAGTCTCCCCGGCCCCCGGGCCTGTGCCAGCAGAAGCCGGCAGGACCGGACCAGCCCTAGGCTGGTGGGGCCCCGGCTCCTCTTCTTGCCATTGTGTGTGTGTTCTGGTCAATCTCCACAACTTTGGGTCTTGCTTTTCCCTTCTGGAAAGTGGGTGTGATGAACTGAAATTCCTTCAACTTCTGCAAGGTGACAGGTGTGGAGCTTAATAACACACGTCTTAGCATCAGACACCCATGGGATAACTGACCCTGGGTAGACTTCCCTTCTTGGGGCTCAGTTCCTTCACCGAGGCAGTGGTGGGGCTTGGAGGGTGGGGCAGACACGGCACTGCCTTCAAGTCCTTCTTACTTTGAAGGTAATTGATGCCTTTTGACAACCAGCCTCCCATGCATGTTTGTTACCTTTCATTTCTTCTATCTCTTAATGGAATATCTGTCAGTTCTTGGTTCTTTTAGTGACCGAAGATTTTTTAGGTCTTACATGTAGAAGAACATAATGTGTACAGTTCACACAATGGAGTTTTCAGTCATCTACAGACCTGCTAGGTGGACACTTCATTTGCAGAGGAGGAAACGAAGGCCCAGGACCACATAACTGGAAAGGGCTGAAGCCCAGCTTTTACCCCCCAGTGCACCTCTAGTTTCCTAAGGCAGGCAAGAGTCAGGCCTTGGCAGTCAATGCTACAGGAAGGGTCAGGAGACAAAGGGATTGGGCAGTCAGGGAATGCTGCCTGGAGGAGGAAGTATGGAGCAGGGCTTGGGATGGAGAGATGTGATGTTCAGAGGGCTAGACCTGAGGAAAGCTTTGGAGGATGGACTGAGCCTGGGCTGTTGGAGGACCGGTGAAGAACATGTAGGTGACAGAGGCCATAGGCAGGCTTGGGGAGTCTTGGGGAAATGTGTGTCAGGGCTGCTGGCTCCTTGGGGCAAATTTTTGGGATCGGCCTGCAGGTCTCCCACTGTTCTGTCCTCGCTGGGAAGCAGGTGTGCTTGCCTCTTGGGAAGCACCTGGCTGCTCCCTGGAGACACCCACGCCAGAACTTACAGGGAGGGCTCCCGCATGGGCCAAGGTACCTCCTCACATCACCCCCGCAAGGCAGCGCCTGCCTCCCTGGTCACAAGGCAGAGAGGCCCAGCTCCTGCAGGCCCATGTGGGCAGGCAGTTAGAGGTCTCCTTCAGGGCTGCCTGACCTTGGGGGCCACAGCCCTGGAGACCCTGACCTCCCCCCACTCCTTGCCACCGTCCACAGGTGTCAGGTGGGCGCCTCATCTCCTCCCCTCCCCCTTTGGCCCACTCCGCTCCAAGCACAGGGCCTCCTGCAGCTCTGCAGGGAGTACACCCCAGTCTCAGTGCTGTTCCCTCTGCCTGGAATGCTGTTCCTGGATGCCCCGTGGCTCCATCTCCTTTACACCTCTCTTGAACTTCACTTTCTCAGCGAGGCCTCCCGGACTGTTCTGAAAATTGTGGCTGCCTCCTGCTTTGTCTCCATAGAACTTGATCCCCTGCCCTACTGCTGGCTTTGTTGTGTTTATTTACCTGCCTGCCTCTCTGTTAGGAAGTTGGCTCCGTGAGAGCAGGGGTTTTGTCTACCTGTTTGCTGTCCCCCCTCATGTTAGGACGGAGCCACAAATGGTTTCCTTGGCTGTCTGGGCAGCGGGGACAGCCTTCGGGCCAGGCTTAGGCCCTCGGCCCAGGCCCTCCCTCGCCCCCAGGTCTTCCCCACTGGAGGGGAAGCCGCTGCCGGCTGCCCTTCCTCATCCCGCAGTCTCGGCTCCTCTAGTGGCCCTCGTCCTGCAGTGGCCTGTCCCACTCCTGGCGCACCTTTCTAATTACCAGGCCCTTTTCACTCTTCATGATGGGAACTCCCAGCTAGTGTGGTGGACGCCGCCCCAGAGGCCCCGCTGCGCCTTACCCCCCAGGGCCAACACTCAAGTAACGAGCAGAATTCTTGGCATTTGCCAGGGCCAGTGTTTGGAGCATTGCAGATGAGTTTTATGAGGGTGATGAAATGGAACCATCTGTCCTCGCAATCACTGGTGTCAGAGGGTGACAGACCAACCAGGAGTCACACGGCAGATAACGTGTGGGAACAGGAGTCAACTCTGAGTCCCAGGCATCTCCCCCATGGATTTGTTACTTATGTCCTCTCCACAAGCTCTGCCCCTACCCCCCAGCTTTATTGGGGTGTACTCGACAAAGAAGGCGTTCCATTGAGGTGTGCATCTTGGGGTTTCGATAAACGTACAGAGATGCTCAGTCAAGCTGGTTGACTGCCATGGCCTCTCATGGTTTGTGTGGTGTGCACACTTGGGCTCTCTCAGAGCACACCCCCCCGCGCGCAGTGTCAACAGGCACGTCGCTGTCTCACGCCTCCAGGACATCCAGCTTGCACAACTGACACTTTGTGCTCTTGGACCCACGTCGACTGCCCCCCTGCTGCGGCCAGCACCGGGCTTTACCGGTCTGATGGTTTGAGATTCCACACAGGACTGAGGCAGGACTTGCCTCCCTGTGTCTGGTTTATATCACATTGCGTAATGGCCTGCGTGTTCACCCGTGTCCTCGCAGATGGCAGGATTTCCTTCTTCGGGGCTGAATCCTATTAGGGGTTGTGGGGGAGAGGCGAGTGTGGCTTTTTTCCATTCATTCAGCGGCCACAGGTGACCTCATCTTGGTTGTGGTGAGTGATGCTGCAGTGACCTGGGTGCGGCTGTCTCTGCAAGTACTGATTTCAATTCCTTGGAATAAATACCCAGAAATAAAAGTGCTTGGGTGACTTGGATCATATTTTTCTCTTTTTGAGGACCCTCCATACTGCTCTCTGGAGGGCTGCACCAGCTGACTTCCCACCTACCAGGCTCCCTTTTCCGCCCAGCCTCACCAACACTTACCTGTCATTTCGGTATCAGCCGTCCTGACGCCCCTGCAGTGAGGATGTGCGTTTCCCTGGCGCTGAGGCTGGGCCACTTGGATGTCTTTTAAAAGTTTTCCATTGGTTTCTTTGCCCATTTCTTAATTGGGTTAGGGTTTTGTTTTGCTAGTGAGCTGTATGAGTTTTTAATAGTTTGGACACTAGCTCTTATCAAGCATGATTTGCAAATACTTGCTATTCCATTTTGTTGGTTTCCTTTGTCTACACACAAAGGAAATGAATCCTGGGTCTCACTGTGCTTTCATTGGGGGGGGCCTGTCTCTCTCTTCCTGCCACTCTCCATCCATCACTCAAGTATTTGACCACTGTGTCCTTGGCTGAGGAGTCCTTGCCTGGTGGAGACTGTTCCGTGGTGCAGGTGGAAGTCGGCTAAGGGCACCACGTGATGTGTAATGTGGGCTAGTGATAAGGAACCCAGAGAAAACTGGAGCCCAGGGAAGGCGGGGCCCTTTGTAAGATAAAGTGGGCCTGAGAGGGCCTCTCTGAGGTGAGGCAGGAACTGGGATGTAAATGGAGGGAGCATCGGATGAGCTGGGAAGGACATGCAGGCGGGGGTGCAAGAACAAGGGCCCTGACATGGAAGCAAGCTTGACAGTTCCTTGGACAGAAAGAAGGCTCTGCCGGCCTCTTGGGATGAGAGATGGTGGAGGAGGGGGGAGGTTGACAGGACTGCTTTATGCGGGTCTGTGGGTCAGGTGACAGAGCTGGGTCTTCATTCTATGTGGCTGAAAGCCATCAGCGCTCACCCAGAGGCACAGTATGCTCTCATTTGTGTTTTTCAAAGCAGAACAGCCATCAGGGCAAGCAGGGATGGGGAGGCTGGTTAGCAGCATGGAGGGGGGTTTAGAGCCTGGGTGGGACAGAATTGGCCTTGCTGTGCTTCTAGGATCTTCAGCAGATGCCTGGAGCTGGGGGCTGAGGGACTGGGGCTAGAAGTGGGTTTGATCTGCCCAGGCTTGGAGGGGTAACCTCCTTGCTCCTGGAGGTCCCAAAGGCTGGCAGAGGTTGTAGGAACCCCCTCTCCTTTCCAGGGGCTGCCGGGAAGCCATCAAGAGGATTGCCTATGAATTTGTGGAGATGAAGGCCAATGAGGGTGTGGTGTACGTGGAGGTGCGCTACAGCCCACACCTGCTGGCCAACTCGAAAGTGTATCCGATTCCCTGGGGCCAGCAAGAGTGAGTGACTGCCTGGGGGGACCGGCATAGGGTCAGGTGGCCTAGCCCATCCTAGGTCTCAGAAAGAGGGGCTTAACTCTGGTGCAAGATGGGGCTCCCATCCCTCATCGGGTTTAGGTTTTTACCTTGGACAGAGGTGTTTGTCCTTGTCTAGTTCTGGGACACAGGCCTGCTGTCCAGGAATGACTTCCCAGGGCCCTGCAGTAACCCCAGAGCAAAGAGAGGGGCCTCCAAGTGGTACCATATCCAGCCTCGCCCCTCTGGAATCAGACCAGGTCCCGGTTTAGCAGGGTATCCCCCTATGAAAGACAGAGGGCTGCACCTGACCCACCCTGCACAGGGACAGCCCTTCTGGGTGTGGATGTGCCCAGGCAGACTGGAGGAAGGTGGAAAGTGGGTGCTAGGGCTTGGGCCTCATTGGTCTTTCCTAAGAGACGGGGTGAGTCGAGGAGGGGCCTCCTGGGACTCCTGGGAAGGTTCCTCTTCCCCTCCTGCTCTCCCCGCGTCTGTCTTCTGTCCACACTCCGGGGCTGGCCTTTGGGTTTTCATTTGTCTCAAGTCCATTCCTACCCCTCTCACACACACAGGGGGGACCTCACCCCTAGTGAGGTGGTGGCCCTAGTGAACCAGGGCCTGCAGGAGGGGGAGCGAGACTTCAGGGTGAAGGTGCGGTCCATCCTGTGCTGCATGCGCCACCAGCCGGGTGAGTGTGACCTCGGCCCTGCCCCGGCTGCCCACGTGGACCCAGCCCGCCTCCTGGCCTGGGCCTGGGCTGTATGGCTTGCTGTGAATGCCACCCATGCTGTGGCTGGCCCCTTGAGCCCAACTGCAAGAGTTTTCTGAAAACATCAGAGCCTCCTGGGCAGGCTGAGAACTTGCTGGGACAGACTTCTCTCCAGGGAGACTAGGCCTTGACAGCCCTATGACCAGCAGGAGGCTTAAAACTAAGAAGCCCAAACAAAAAAATCTAGGTCCATGGGCCCCCCAACCCCGGAGGCCCTGTGGTCCAGGCCCTTTCCTGTCTGGGCCACAGAACCCGTGACTAGGCCTGGTTTGCAGGCTTTCTGGGAGGGGTCTCCCCTGTGATGATACCCATCGGACTCCAGGTGCAGGGTCCTGCTGCGTCACCTGGCAGTCAGGTCTCCCTGGGCCTCAGACACGTGCCGTCATGGGAAGGGAGCACACTCACCTCCTCCACTGGGAAACAGTGAGAATCCACAAAGGGCTCACGATGTTCCTCCCTGCAGCAGCAGCCTGTGAGGTGGGGCTCCTGCTGCACATTCCCACTTTCCGGAGGAGGACCGACCCCGAGGCAGTGTGAAGCCTCTTGGTCCTCCCTCAGGAAGGACAGCCTGGCTCTGAAGTCTGGTTTTTAAAACTTGACAACTTTATTGGCCCAAGAGTACATAGTGCACTAGCGCTGTGTCGTGTGATACAGCGAGTTATTTTAATGTTAAACTGGGCTGCCACCTCCTCAGGCTCAGTGGGGCCAAGCCCACTGGTGGTGCCCAGGCCCTGCCCTCGGCACTTTGTGTAGACATCTGAGCAAAGCCTTGCCCAGCCCTGCATGGTAGCTGAGGGGAAGGGGCAGGCGCCAGAGCCGCTTGCTGGAGGCCACGTGGCTGGGCCACGGGAGTTGGGATTTGGAGACAAGACACCGGGCCCTCTGTCCTGGGCTGGTCTCGGGGTGTGGGGGGCTCTCCTCTGTGCTCCTGACAGGCCCGTGGGGGTGTGGCCCACAGACTGGTCCCCTGAGGTGGTGGCGCTGTGTAAGAAGTACCGGGAGCAGGGTGTGGTGGCCATCGATCTGGCTGGAGATGAGACCATCCCAGACAGCAGCCTCTTCCAGGGACACCTGCAGGCCTACGAGGTGGGTCCTGGGGAGGGAGGGGCGAGGCCGGTCTCCCCCACCACAGGGAGAGGTCACACCATAGGTTCGCTCAAGACGTGGGCTCATGTGTATCTCAGTTGGGTCTGAGGGCTCCAGAAGTTGGGAATGTGGTTTAAAGACCGCACTGGGGCTGCGAGTTCTGTGTTTGGGCCTGTTTCTGCCCATCTGCTATGTGAACTTGAGTGAGGCTGTCTGTCCCTGGGCCTGTTTTACCTGCTGGGATGACAGGGTCAGGGCAGAGATCACTGAGCCTCACAGTGCACCTCCTGTGGGAGGGATAAAGCATGAGGGGCAGGGGGTGGGCTCTGGGGTCTCGTGGCCCAGGTTCAGGCCTTGGGTTCCCCTTCTCCAGCTGTTTTGACCTTGGTCATGTTACTTTCCTGAGCTTCAACCCCATAAAATTGGTTATAGCTGTGACAATGTTGATAAACCATTTCTCATGGTGCCCAACACATAACTGCTTAATAAATGCCTAAGACTTAAAAACAATTAAAAGCCAAAATGAAAAACGGGCTCCCCCATCTTGAAGTATGGGGCATGCTTCAGGCTGCCAAGACTCGGCCCCAAAGTGTGGTGAAGGCAGGCCTGCTGGGCCCTCACCTGGGCCCCTTGGCGCCCATGGCCTGCCACTTCCCTTTCAGGAGGCTGTGAGGAGCGGCATTCACCGCACCGTCCACGCCGGGGAGGTGGGGTCGGCAGAAGTGGTCAAACAGGTGAGCAGGTTGGGCTGGTCTAGGGCTCTTGTGCCTCCTCCCACCCCGCCTCTCCTGGGCTCACTCAGCGTCTCTGCAGGCTGTGGAAAGACTCAAGACAGAGAGGCTGGGACATGGCTACCACACCATAGAGGACCCGGCCCTTTATGCCAAGTTGCTGGCAGAAAACATGCACTTTGAGGTGAGGGGTCAGGAGGGCCCCAGAGCTGAAGGAGCCAGGGGAACGTGGCAAGAGTGGGCCTTGAAGCTGCCTGGTGGGAGGGCCCAGCTTGCTCTGGGGCTACCCATGCCAGCCCATACCTATTCTTCCAGGTCTGTCCCCGGTCCAGCTACCTCACAGGCGCCTGGAGGCCAGAAACAGAGCACGCGGTGGTTCGGTGAGGCTGGGCCTCTGGGGTCTACTCTGTTTTGTCTTAGGGAGACCCGGGCTGGGGAGGGAATGCAGGCCCCGGGCTCTGTCCAGGGTCTTTGGATGTGAAATCGCTTCAAGTCCCAAAGGAGGAGGCGTTCCTGCTCTCACCTTACAATGACTCCAAAGCACAGATGTGCTGTGACCTGATTGAGGTCACCATCACCAACTCCGAGCTGCGGCGCTACAGCTCATCTTGCTGTAGCAGCCACCCTGCTGCACGAAGGGGAGCTTCTACCCTAGATTCTGCCTTCGAGGCGTCAGGAAGGTGAACCTCCCCTGCCAGGCTCTGCCCCTGCCCCCTCTGGGGTGGAGGGGTCCCCCAGCACCACATTGATATTCTTCCCTGGAAGGCCTGCCCATCCCACCTGAAGTCTAACATGGCGAACTTGACCCATCTTTGAGCTGTCTTGGGATTGAACACTGGGGGTGGCACCAGCCTTCACGAGGGCAAAGCTCCCTTTCTCTGCAGCAAGAACTTAGGGTGACCATGGTCTGCCTGTCAACCTTACAAGATGGGAAGGAGCTGGGGCTCTGACTTCAAGGGGCTCCCGAGGCCTGCATTAGGGACATCCAAGTGAAGATTCTGGGAGGCATGTGGGAAACAGCCTGGGGCCTGGAGAGTCAAGAGTCATCTAAACAGACCTGCTGGTTGAAGTGTCGGAAGATGGAGCAAGATGGGTCAGGAGAGAACCCGGAGGGGCAGTGACATCTTGGGGACAGGCAGAAAGTCAGTGTGGTGACTGAGAAAACAAGGGAGCACTCCAAGAACAGCCAACAGGGTAAAAATTCTACTCCAGTGAGGGAAGGACTCAGAACGTTGCATTGGTGGTTGGGGGCTCGTTAGGAATGGTTTCCATGGTGTGTGTGAAATGCCAGATCCCGGTGGGACTGTGGAGGGTGCTGGGGGGGCAGTCAACTTTTCCAGGGTGGTTGCAATAAAGAGGAAGGTGAGAGAAGGTGGTGGGTAGCTGGAGGGGGTGCTGCTTTTGGGGGCTCACAAGCCCCCACTCTACTTGCCCTTGCACCACACCCCTCTTCTGCCGGGTCAGGCAGGTCCAGGTCTTGAGCTGCTCGTCACGTGGCCCTGGTCAAGTCACCGAGCTGAGTTTTTCTCCCTCTGCACAGAGGATAAGCCTTTTCAGGTCCGCCTCAGGAGGCCTGTGGCGCAAAGGAGGTGAAGGCCAGGTGCAGAGACTTTACAGAAGAGTAAGCGTTGCCTCTTCCTCCTCCCCTACCCATCACCCAGGTTCAAAAGGGACAAGGCTAACTATTCCATCAACACGGATGACCCGCTCATCTTCAAGTCCACCCTCAACACCGATTACCATATGCTCAAAAATCTAATGGACTTTACTGAAGATGAGTTTAAGAGACTGGTGAGTGGGCTGCGGCCCCGTGGGCTCTGACTGGGCTCTGGGGGCGTGAGGCCTGTAGGGCCTGGAGCCCCAGAATTGAAGCTATGCTGAGCTAGACCTAGAGTCTGACACTCCCGTGAGACCTCTGGCTGACATCCTCACCTTGGCCCAGGTGTTTACCTTTTGAGGGTTGTGGCACCTCAGAATCTGCTAAAAGCTGTCAGCTGCCCCCCCAGAAATCTCACCTGTGAGATTCTGCTCTTTTCAGGCTGTGGCTCCCGTGCTGAGTCCTTGACTTCAGGGGCTGCAGGAGGTCTACCCCTGCAGGAGGGTCTCCCTAGCCCCTGTCTCTGAGGTTTCCCCAACTTCTCACATCTCTCCCACTCTGAGAACACAGACCCTGTCTCTGCTCTGGCACTTGCCCACCCAAATGAGCCCACCCCCTGAGCTTAACTGCCCACGTTCAGCAACGAGACCGGGGTGCTGCTAGCTTGCCAGCTCCCCTCCCTGTGCTCTGGTTCCATGTTGTCTGCCTTTCTGGCCCTTCCAGAACATCAAATCAGCCGAGTCCAGCTTCCTCCCAGAAAATGAGAAGAAGGAGCTTCTTGATCAGCTCCACAAGGCCTATGGGATGTGACCTGCAGCCCCTGCAGGTATGTTCCTGGCTGGGCTGTTCCACTGGTCTGCCCTGCTCCAGCCGGGCTTTCTGTGGGACCGGCAGCAAGAGCCTCCCTTCCTGCGTGGGCAGCACCAAGAGTGTGTAGCCTCCCTGGTTGTGGGGGCCCTGGCTGGTGGCCTCACTGCACTAGGTTTCTGTATGCTGGAGTCTGGTCTAAGGGGGACACTCTTGAAAGCCCATCCCAAAGGCCCTGGCAACAAGGCCATCTCCAAGGCCATCCCAAAGCCAAGGGCTGAGAGTGGGCCCAGGCCACAGGCCCCAGCTCCCAGTTCTGCTCCTTCCTTCTTGGGTGGCTGTGGCAAGGCTCTCCCTCGCTCTAAGCCTCAGTCTCCCCACTGGCTCTGATGTGCTGTGATTTTTTTTTTTCCCACAACCTGGGTACCATGAGACACCTAACCTTCCTGCTTCTTTGACCTGGCAAGCAGGGCAGTGTCCGTGAAGATGTCAGGGCCATCTCGCTGAGCCCTTGTCCTGGGATGGCATCTTCACAACCAATTTGAGCGACGCTCTGACTTCTCACCTCAGGAGGACTGATTTCCATGGTCAGCTGTTGCGGTTCTTGAAGTCAGGGTCCCCGCCATGCACACCTGTGCTCTGCACATCACCCCCCCCCCCCACTCTGATCATGGGTGCGGGCCGGGTTGAATCTGAAACCTTCCTGTGATGATTCTAAGCTGGTGCCTAATAAAATAACCAGGACTGGTATCGGGCAGCACTGGAGTGGCGTGTGGTCTTGGCGAGGTGGGCATGGAGCCTTTGGGGGCCCCACTCTCGGGCTGCCTGCTCAGGCAGCACACTTGGGGGCTAGAGGGCACCATAGCCTGCCCTCCCTTCAGGAGAAACGAGGCTTCTCTTGGTGGGGCACCTCCTTATGATGCCCCTGAACACTCAGCCTCTCCTTCCCCAGGTTTTCAGGGGAAAATCTTCCTTCTGGGTTCCGGAAGCCGTGGACTAGGGGAGATGAAAGGAGACCCTTAGATGCTGGGCCAGGGAGTGGTGCCAGCTCAGTGAACTCCAGCACCTGCTCAGGCACTTCACTCGGAAGCTGGGGCAGCAAACTGGACATGGGGAGACGAGGCCCAGCCCCCGCCTTTGCTACTTCAAGGGGGAATAATCCTCTAAGCCAGTCGCACAAATCATCAGCATTTATTTCCTGGGTCCTGGGTGTCACTTCTCTTGGTAGAAAGGACAGAGTAGATCAGATAGTTTTGAGAACAAAATCCTTCCCGAGAAATGGATCTGATCTGTGAAGCTCCATGAGGGACCCTCAGAGCTGCATAGAGATATGTTGGAGTTCAGCTTACAATGGCTTCCAGAAAAAGGCGAATTGATTGTCCACTTCCCTCCCTCTGCTGAAAAAGATCTAAAGTTTTTAAAAAGTTAAAATTGTTTTTTTTAAAAAAAGGGATAAGATCTTAACCCAGCAGGTTGGGAGTAGGGAGGAGGGGCCGGGCTGGACCGTGGTCCCTGCCCAGACCCCGTGTCAGAAGGGCGCTTGGGGAGCTGCTCCCCGAGGTGGGCAGGGCCCAGACCCTGCATTCCGGCGCCTGCTGAATAAATAACATCCTGGTTTACAGTGTCTTGAGAGGGTGCTCAGGCACGGTGAGGAGATGGTGGGAGCGGGAAGCCTGTGGGGGTGGCCTGCTTGCCTGGGACATGGGGCTCAGAGAGGAGGCTGCCGGGCCAGTGCCAGGGCTCCCCCGATCCAGGTGGGGACAGCAGGTCTCTTCCAGCCTCCTCGGGCAAGGTCATGCTCAAGACGAGGTGGTCCCGTCGCTGCTCTTGGGCTGGTTGCCAGCTTCCTTGTCTGCAGTGCCCGCCTCCGTCTGTCCTTCTGGAGAGAGGGTAGCAGGTGCACAGATGTAAACACAAAACGGTGTCTGGAAAGGCCCAACCAGTGTGGGAAGCGGGACGGGAGCTGCACTAGAGTGGTGGTGGCCAAAGAGAACTTCAGCCTGGGCTGTAACACTTTGAGAAAATGTGTGTGGTGGGACCGCAAAAGGCCTACATGGTGGGTAGATGCCAAGCACATCAGGCAATCTCACTGCTGAGATTCTCCGCGGGTTCTCTAGAGCAGAAGAAACTGAAGCCCCAGGATGGATCAGGTGTTTACCGAATGGGGCCTGGAAGGAGGCCAGCTCAGAGACCAGCTCTGACTCTGGCTGAGTCAGAGCCCAGGCAGGAGCCCCGCTGTGGCTGTCGCCCTGGCCCATCCTTGCCAGACCGGCCCGCCCCCACGACGCCCCGCTTTTACATCCTCAGGCTTCACCTTCATGGACTCCGGAGGGGCACCTGCCAGGGCTCCAGACTGGCAGGCGTTAGCCGTGCCACCCACCCAGCCCGGCAGGATGAGTGTCCTGATGCAGAACTACTGAGAATGTCTTGGGTGAACCGAGGCGAAGTGGTGGAGACAGCGTGACGTGTGATAGGGCACCTCGCAACCCGGCGCCCACCCTCTCTGCTCCAAGTTGCCCTAGGGAGAGTGTCAGTGGACGGAAGTGGTGCAGGAGCAACTTGGACTTCTGCGGACCCCCCAGGCCTACCCAAGGGCTCCCCAACCCCAGGTGGTACCTAGAGCCAAGGCTCGGTCCCAGAGGGGCCCTCTTGGCTCCCCAGAACTCTGACAAACCAGACTGTGCCACACTGTTTGGCCCTGAGCCTCCCACCTTAAGAACATTCTCCTTTGTGCCCTTGCTGATCTCTCTCACCGTGTTTGGTGTCAAACTTGAACAGGCCATGGACCTGGGGAGGCCAGTGGCTGAGGTTGCGGCTCCCTCTCCCCTCTGCCCCCCCATATGTGCACCAGTCTCCTGGGAAGCTTTAGACAAATAGATCTGAAGCCAGGCCTGCTGGAGCAGACTCTATTCCGTTCCTTCTAGTGAGCCTGCTGCACCAAGCAGACCACAGCCCTGCCTGCACAAAGCACGCAATGCCTGACCTACTAGAAGGTTCCTCAGCCAGTCGCTCTGGCCTGCACACATGCTGTACTTGAAATGGGCTGTTTTTCCTCAGGTCTTTTAAAATGTCAGTCACCCTGGCAGGCCAATAAATGTACCTGGAGGAATCAGACACCTCAGGGGTGGTGAATGGACACAAGAAGGCCTGGGCTCATGGGTGAGAGGATATGTCTGCTGAGGTGGGTAGAGACAGCAAACAGTTTACCAGCACTGAGCAGAGGGGACAGGGGCTGGAAAGCCATGCCTGGCAGCACGCCCGGGTGGCAGCTGGTCATTCAGTCAGCGGTGAACAGCCTTCGGCATGTGCCAATCGCCACCAGGCACGGAGAGCAAGGCCCCATGTGGGAGCAGCTCAGGGGGAAGGGCTTGAGCTACGTGGGCTTCTGGAGGCCTGACGGGAGGTGTCTGGGGTGAGAAAAATGAGCTGGGCCAGGGGAGCAGTGTGCAGGCCACACAGGAGGTCCTAAGAAGCAGCCCTTTCTGCTGTGGGTCAGAGGCGCAAGGGGGGGAAGGACGAAGGCCATGCAGGAGGCTCCTGTGCCCAACAGGCCACTCTGCAAGGAAGGAGTGTGGGTGCCAGGTGCTCACTGCAACTGCATGAACTTGCTGGGTGCCCCCTGAGCACCCATCTTCGCTGGGCCCGTGCCTCTACCACATCTGTTCTGAACGCACAGGTGACCTCTGGCCAGCTAAGGCCAAGAGCTCTGGACTGGGGGGGCAACCCAAGGAAAATGGGGCTGTACTTGCCACGGACAGCTCAGTGTGAGACAGAAACCAGCAAGAGCGGCGTGCTGGGGTGGCAGGAGCAAGCTCTAACTGGGCCAGCCAGGTTCCCAGAGGCATGAGCTGAGGACGGAGGAGGAGGGCGTCCTGGCAAGGCGGCGGGTAGGTGGGCGGGTGGGTGCTGTTTTCTCCACTCAGCCTGGTTTCTAAGTGCTTGCTCTGTGGCAGCATAGCAGGAGGCCCCCTGAGCCCCGGAGCTCATATTTAAAGCCAGACCTTGTCAGAGCAAGGGGGTTATGGGTGGGGGAGGCCGGGGAGGCCCAGTGACCACAGGACCAGGCAGGGCCACTCAGCAGAGGACGCAGTGAGATGCTCACCCGCCCCCTCCAGTGCCAGCTCGCCCATGTCTCCAGCCAGCTTCCGCACGCTCACAGCCTCTGAGTCCCCCTGAATGTCAGCCACGGCGTTCCGACGGCCTGTGCGGTCACAGGAGATGAAATCCGAGTAGGAGGACTCGACCTCCATCATGCCTGTCGCATCGCTCTGCAGGCCTGTAGGGACAGGAGGGCAGGGGTTAGTCAAGGTGCGTCCCAGAGAGAGATGACACTCAGCTCCCCAGCGTGGATGCCTTTTAACAAAAGGACAGTCATTGCTTTTGATCCGTGAAGACAAAAGTACACAGAAAAGAAGTTGCCCAGAATGTCACAGCCAGGACACAGCAGCATTTTCAAGAGCACCCCTCTTGTCTCTGTTACTGCTGGCCTGCAGAGGCGGTATGGACAAGTCGGCCCAGCCCTGCGCCACTCCTGGGGGCGGCATCTGTCACCTAAGGGCCTGACCAAGGCGTGCAGGACTCCCAGGGCCTGACAGGCTGAGGCTCAGGGGAAGGGTGCAGTTTAGTGCCAGAGGGTGTGGAGCAGAGGGCCTGCAGACATTCAAGTGTGAGGTGAGGAAAGGAAGGAGGTGGTGGTGCCAGACAGAGTCTGGATTTACCATGGAGGGAGACTCAACAGGCCGTGGTGCTGGATGGAAGAATGAGCTTTGTGACATACGCAGGTGGACAGATGAGTGAGCAGCAGGTAGGCATGGGCAAAGGAGCAGTGCTTTGGGGAGTGACGGGGGCATGGAGACGCACTGCACTCGGCCCTGTTGGCTCTGATCTGCCTGGGTGTCCCGCAAGGGGAGAGGTGTGGTGGGGACATGGAGATAGGGCAGTAAGACATGACTTTGACGGTTATTTCTACAGAGATGGTGGTTAACAGCCCTGCTGGTTAAAATATGCCCTGGAGAGAGAAAAGAATCACACGTATACAGGAAGCAAAAGATGTTAGGAGTCACACCATAACATAATGTTTTATAGCCTGTGCTGTGGAACACCAAACATTGTTTCCCATGGGTGATTTTTTTTCTTTTACCTGCACACCTGGATGTGCCTTGCTTAGCCTGGCCCAGACATGAGCACAAGCCACTTGCCAGTTTCCACTTCTACACGCAGCACAAGGTCCTTGTAAATCTGTGTGCGCCCATCCCCAATTATTTCCTAGAGTATATTCTTAGAAGTGCAACTACTGGGCTAACAGGAAGGGCAAAATCATTTTTAAGACAGTGTTCAAACACATTACCGCGATGCCTTCCTGATGGCAGTGGTTTTTATAATGACAAAACTGAGGGGGAAACAAACTTCTATACCTGGTACAGTTTTATTCCCACCCCCCAGCACAGCAGCACACAACATCCGTTTTTCTTCACGCATGGCAACAACAGGCACTCATAGTAAGAAGGCCAGACTGCTAGGGAGGCTGGTAACTCACTTGGCAGCTATGGTTTTCTGAAGGCAGCAGGCCCTGAATTGGGGAGTGGGTGGGCAGCCAATTAAAATGACCATATTATGTATGGTCTTGACACCAAGACCAGACAAGGATATCACAAGAAAACTAGAGGCCAGTATCCCCAATGAGGAGATGCTCATAAGCCACCACCCAGTGGGCTTATTGCAGAGATGCTACATGAACCAGCGCCTGCCAATGGATGCGAGACACTGATCACATGAAGGCTAAACTCATCTCGATAGAGGTAGGAAAAAAAGCATTTGACAAAACTGAACATCCATTTATGATAAAAACTCAGCAAAGTGAGTACAGAGGGGGAGTACCCCAACATAATAAGGCCATGTAAGACAGGCCCACAGCGGATATCTTTAATGGTGAAAAACCAGACAGTTTTCCTTTAAGATCAAGGAATAAGACAAAGATGCCCACGTGGTCTTAGAACAATTAGGCAAGAAAAAAGAAAACACATCCAAATTGGAAAAGGAAGTAAAACTCACTATTTGCAGACAACATGATATAGATAAAATTCTAACTGTTTCCACCAGAAACAGAATCAAATTCAGTAAAGTTGCAGGATACACTATCAACAAAGATCTGTTGTTTTCTGTGCAATGATTAAAAAAAAAAACTGTCAGAGAAAACTGTCAGAAATTAAGGAAACAATCCTACTTACAATTATAGCAAAAATACCTGGGAAGAAATTTAACAAGGAGATAAAAAGACCTGGCCACTGAAAACTACGACACTGGTGAAAGAAACAAGCTATTCTGTGCTGAAGGACTGGAAGAATCAATGTTAAAATGTCCTCACTTCAGCAGTCAACTAAACTGACTCTGCTCTTGTCCCTGTCCAGGTTGCCCTAAGGGAGTTTAAAGACAGCCCTTTCTGGTGGGCTGTCTCTCCAATAAACTGTTGAGAAAACTGGACCATGATCTCATGCCATGCACAAAAAATGAACTCAAAGTGGATTAAAGACCAGAAGCCATTACACTAGAAGAAAACAGGTGGTAAACTCCTTGATATTGGTCTTGGCCTTGGTGATGATATTTTTGCATCTCCAAAAACAAAGGCATCCAGAGCAGTAATAAACAAGCGGGACCATATCTAAAAAGCTGCTGCACAGCAACCTACAGAGGAAATATTTGCAAACCATGCATTTGATAAGGCGCTAATATCTAAAATAAAGAATCCAAAAAAAACCCAATCTGACTGAAAATGGACAGATCTGAATATTCTTCCAAAGGTAACAGACAACGAAAAGCTGCTCCGTGTTGCTAATCATCAAGAAATGCAAATCCAAACCACACTGAGGTGTCACCTCACACCTGCTAGAATGCCTGCCATCAAAAAGACAAGGAATGAGAAGTGTGAGCAAGAATACGGGGAAAGGTGACTGCTGTGCACTGCTGGTTATTATCTGCAGAAAAGGAGAACATGAACACTGCCCATGCTGTCTGCCTCCCACAGTCGGTGCAGCATCGGTTACGATAACCGAGATACAGAAACTGTCCATCGGTGGATGAATGGGTAAAGAAAATAACCACATAAATATACACGTATATGTATATGTCACAGCGTACAAAGGAAAATCTTGCCATTGTGACATGGATGGAACTCAAGGGAATGTTAAGTGAAACAAATCAGACAGACAAATACCAGATGATCTCACTTGTATGTAGGCTCTGAGGGGGGAAAAAATAAGTTCAAGTGCAGAGAACAGACTGGAGGTTGTCAGAGGCAGGGGTGGGAGGATGGGTGAAATAAATGCCAGGGCAGGGGTGGGGTGAGTGGGGGGTGGGGTCAAAAGGTACTTCTAGTTGGAAAAGTCTGGGGTCGGGGGGAGAGTGGCCAGCAAGAGGCCTCTAGTTAATAATGCTATAGGTATATTTGCAAGTTGCTAAGAGTAGATCTTAAAAGATCTCATCACAAGAAAAATTTTGGAACATGCTGTGGCCATGAATGTTAACTAGAATTACTGTGGAGAAAATGCCACAATACATACAAATACCGGAGCTTTGTTATAGCAAGTATGTCAGCTTTACTTCAACAAAAAAGAAAAAAAAATGTGGCAGAAGAACCTGTACTGAAAAGTAAGGTATCTCAGACACTGCTCATTGGAAAATGCAGTTTGCAAAATACCACCTAAAAGAAAATCCTAATATTAGCAGATAAAAGGAAAAAAAAAAAAACCTTGTCAAATGGGAATCGGGGAACTTTCACTTTCTAAGGCTATTTTTGTAATGGTTGAAGTTTTTATAAGCCTAAGCTATTGTCTGATGCTTTCGGGAGATAATGGACATTGGGCAGGAAGTGCCTGGAAAGTGCCAGGGTGGGGCGTGTGTGTGTGTAGAGGGGGTCTCAGAAGAGACACCTAAGAAACAGATTAAGTGCACTCAGATCAGGCAGGGGAGACAGAGAGGTGCCCTGTAGTAGAAAGAGGACAGAATGAAAGACTTGACTGTTGAGAACCAGGCTCTGCCCCTCCAGCCTCCCTCGCCTGGGCTAAGTTAAGGTGGGTGTTCCCCAGCAGCTCCCCTGACCGCCAGCAGAGGGCGCGCCCAGCCCACTTTTACAAAGTTACCTTGCGCGACGTCCCTGAAGTCCCCGGAGGTGCTTCCTTCTGCAGGTCACAGTTGAATCCCCGCACTCTCACGCCGGGGAAGCCGCTCAGAGTTGCAGAAAGGGGAAATGACCTGTTGCAATAGCCGTAATAAAGAAAAAATTATGACAACTCTACCCGTAAAGATAAGCCTTCCATACTTCACTTCATGGCCACAAGAGCCCCCAAAGGTCAGGGAGGTGAGGTGACCATGGCTCAAAGGGTTCAGGCAGACCCATCTGGTGCCCGGGCTTGTCCTCCACATTACACCTGCCGCCTGAGCTGTCCCCTTAGCTCTTAGCCTCCAATGAGAATGTGGCTCAGTGAGGACGGCCTTTCAGCAACAGCAAGGCTAATCCTGGTGCCCGAGCCCACCTGTTCTGGCTGCTCCATTCTAGATCCTCAACCAGTATCTGGCTCAATAAATGCCTGAATTAAATTCGAATCTATTTGTCTATCCATCTTTCTGTATTGCTGTCTGTCCACTCTCCCTCCTTCCCCATCCGTGCGGATATAAAGCGCCTGTCTCAGCACAGCCTTGAAGGCCCCGTCCACTGTCCTGCGATATTCTTGTCTGGTATCGCTAAGATCCGATACCGTGGATGGAGTTACAGGCTCCATCTACAAGGCCAGCTTCTACTGGAACAGACACCCTGGGCTGTGGCTCCTGCCTTGCTCGTGTGACCTCAGGAGCTGCCCAGTGCAGAAAGCTGAACCCCTGGCTCAGAGGGAAAATGTGCAAACTCAAGGCCCAATCCTGGAAAACCCCCAGGGAGCCAACCTGCTCTCCTGCGCCGCCGGCCCCACCCCACAGGGAACAGGACTTCCCTAGACACGTCTGGGGAGCTCTTTGACCTGCAATGCAAGTACATAATCGCGCTGTTATCCAAAATTTGAATAATCTCATAATCTCACTCTCTGCTCTTTAAGGTCAGCATTAAATTGAGAAATGAAAAAAATCTTCAGAGTTGGAAATCAAGTCAAAAAATGGCCATTCTTAGACTGTCCATGGGAGTGGAAACTGCCAGGACCTCTTACCCTGAAGCTGCTGTAGTGCTGATGATAATAAAACCCTAGAAACAGACCTAAGCCCATAGGCAGTCAAAAACTTTCCTGACTGGATAGTATTCTGTTATCTCAAGGTGCAGACTGGTATTGATGGACTTTGGGGATGCGTCCATCAAAGCTGAATCGCCACATGAAACGATCTGTATGTAAATTCCTCTGCTTGTAAAGCTTATTGCTAAATGTCCCTCCACAAGCGTTATTTCATTCCCATTGGGCATATATTAGGTGCATGCTGTTGTACCCCATTCTCATCAATGTTGTCTTTTCTTCCCCAACCTGCAAGCTCTAGCTCTTTATTATTGCTCCTGTGAGTGAACCTGAATATATTTCCACATGCATTTCTTTTTCTGTGCACTGGTTGTTTAAATACTTTCCCCCATTTTTCTGATTGTATCTTGTTTATTATCGAGTTGGAGATGTTCTTTACATATTAAGGAAATTAAACTTTTTAACTTTCGGCATTTCTTCCTATGCATGTACTTTTTCTGTTCGTGTAGTCAGACTGATGCATATTTTATGGTTTCTGGGTTCTGAGTCATGCTTGGAGATGTCTTTCCTACTCTGAGGTAAAGAATTTCCCCTCATTTATTTCTGACACCTTCATGGCTTTATTTTTCCACATTTAAAATCTTTAACTGATCTGGAATCTATGTACTATAAGGTATGAGTTCCACCTTTATTTTTTTCTACTTATCTCAAGTTCATTTATGGAATAATCCAAATGAAAGGGTTCAGAGAGCTCTTCTAGAAAACCTTTCACTTATAGCTAGGAGAAGTGAGGTTCAGAAAGGGAAAGTGATCCCCCAAAGTCCTTAAGTCTAGGGGTTCAAAGTCATGGTCCAGAGCTCTTTCTTCCTCACCACACTGCCTCCTCAGAGGTCTCCGGGGACACTACACATCTGGGAGGGTGGGGGTGGTGGGGAGGCCTCCAGCCCAGATTTCCCTGTTACTAGCTGGAGACCAAGGACAAGTCGCTTCACCTCTCTCCACTTGTTTCCTCCGGGGCAGGGGACTGTGGTGAGATGCAGCGAGATGACGATGATGTATATGTAAAGTCTGATAAGGTATGTGGAAGGCAAGAGGCACACAATTAATTAGTTTGGTCTCTTTTTGTTGGCTGACTTGTCAAAAGGACAGTTGTACTGATATTTTCATTCAATATTTTGTTCTCATGCAGTGTTGAATAGTGCAGAGAAGGTCAAAACGTAAGCTTCCTTCTTTTGCGCTGAGAAGGAAGTTCTAGGTGGCTGCGTGTATACTGTGGTCCCTGAGAGGCGGAGCCCATAGCTGAAGCTCAATGAATGTTTAATGAATGAGTCAATAATAGAAAATGTTCTAGATTCCAGGTTAGAAAGAGCAAAGGCCTGCAGCCTGGCATCTGAACAGCAGCCAAAGGCCTGACACAAACTCCGTGTAGTAGGGCGGACACCCCTGAATGAGTCCCTTCTCTCCCAGCTTCCATCCCCCACCCCACTGAAGAAGGTTGAAACAGGATCTCTAAGTCACTTCCGGTCCTGACCCTTCCTCCCTTTCTTCCGTCTCTCTCACTCCCTCACTTATTCAGTGTTTACTGATCCCCTTCTACATCCCAGGATGGGTCTGCTTCACGATTACAATGACATTTGCAATCTGATAAGAGAAGGGTATTGACAGATAAGAGAATCTACCTCTTAATGTGCTCAGGCTGTGGAGTGGACAGCAGGAGCCTCCGCTGTGGATGGCTCAGTTAAAGGCTGTGTAGTCAGGGAAGGCTTCCTTGAGGAGGCAGCCCTGGGCTGAGATTTACAGAAAAGTCGCAGGTGATCTCGGCAGAGACAACAGCCAGTCTGGGACACACTGATGGAGCCTCTCCCAGCTCAGCTGGAGCCCTGCAGGTGATGCACCTATGTTCCTGTTCCTCCCCAGAAGGCTTTGCTGCCTCCCTGGGTCTGGGTGCAGGGAAGGCACCTGCCTGACCTGAAGGCCCAGAATGGAAGGGAGGGTGGCTCAGCTTCCTGGACCCTTGATGCCCCGGGCACAGGCTGCAGGTCCACAGGTACTTATACTAGGCACTGTCAGGGTCCCCCCGGGAAGCATCTTCCTCCCCTGGTTTGATTTCTCCCCCACCTTTGTAAACGGAAGAGGCCCCGGGCACTGCCAAGAGCCACAAGGTCTGTTCCAAGTTTGCAGCTCTCAGTCCTCATGACTTAGGCAGATCCCATTACAGCTCCAAACTGTTTTCCAAATATTCCAGAAAGGTCATTTCCTGTGTTTTTTTTTTTTTTCTTTAAAAATTAAATATTTGCAAAGGCCATACAAAAAGCAAGCAGATCATTTTGCAGAGGACAGAGCAGAGAGGGGGCTGGGTCCCCTGGGAGAGGACAACTTGAGGCTGGGAGGAGAGGCCCTCAGCTTCTCTGATGGAAGCAAGGCCACGGAAGCCCGATGGAAACACCAGAGCCAGTGGGACGGGCGTTTCTTGGACCCAAAGAGAAGTGGCTGCTCTGTGCTGGGAAGCCAGGACGACAGACACTGAGGGGAACAGAAAAGTCAGGGCCCCAAAACGAGCACATTCTGAGAACCTGGGAAAGGACAGGCATGGGGCCTGTGGGGATGGGCACCAACCTCCTGTGAGGGCCTCAAGGGACGCGCAGCGCAGAGCCCCAGCCGGGCTCACTGGGCAGCTGTCCCCAGGAGCGTCAGGGGAAGCAGCCAGGCAGGCCCGGAAGGGGTAGAGAGGACAGGGCAGGGGACTGGATCAGGCAGGGTCCTCAGTGACCTCCAGGTGGTCAGTCCTCCGGCCAGCTCTGTCCTGTGATGACTCGCAGCTGCTGAGATGGCTCTCCCCCAGGGCTTTGTGACAGCACAAACCGGGCTTCTCTTCCACCCCTGGCCATGGCTCAACTTCTCCATGCAGTCAGGGACCTTAACATGCCAGGACCAGGCCAGGGTCCTCTCCTCTCTTCCTGGGGGTTCTTCTCCCGGTATGTGTCAGTGACTCCCCAGAAGTCCTGGCCTCTGGATTGGCCAATCTGACCTGGTCCTCTGGACATGTTCCAATATGACTCCACCAGCCTGCTCCCTCCAGCCTCCCCAGCTCAGGAGGTGGCCACTGAGGCTGCAGGCCAGGAAGCAGGGAACTCCCCTCCCCTCTCACCATTCACATGCATGCTGCCCCACAGGCCTGCCACTTCTACTTTCCACACACCTTGGATCTGCCCACCTCTCCCTCCACACGCCTTAACCTGGCCTCCTTCATTTCTCACCTACAGCACCCCTGGTGGGCCTCCTCGCTGCACCCCTGCTTCCCCCCGCCCCTCACTCAAGGTCTATTTCTATACCAGTAGCAGGGAGATGTTTGCAGACCAGACACTGGGTCATGTGATTCCCCTGCTCTGTTCAACCTTTGATGCTTTTCCCATTCCATCTGGCAAAATCCAAAGTCTTTACACCAGCCCTGCACTGACCTGGCCCTGGCTCCCTCTGGGACCTCTAGTCTCATTTCCACTTTCTCCTTGGCCATTCTGTCCTGACCACACCAACCTCTCTAATTCCTCAAACCAGCTAAGCTCTTCTTGACCTCAGGGCCTGCGCAAGCCTCCTCCAGAGCCCACCCTGTTTCCTGCTCTTTGCAGAGCCTTATTTGTGGATTCTCGTTCTGGCTTTTATTTTTTTTTTTTAAAGATTTATGCATACAAGAACTGGGGTACAGGCCAGGGAATGGGGGTGGGGATGAGGAGTCACCAGAGACAGAGTAGGGAGCAAAACAGGCAGACTGACTGAAATATGCTGCTGAGAGGAGCAGTGGGCGAGTCAGGAGAGGTCTGCGCCATATGAGTAACCCCCCAGGCTGGGATTGAACCCGTGCTGCAGAAGCTGTGGACAACCTCATAGGCTGTCTTAACCCCTTGCACCACCAGGGAGGCCCTCCTGCCCTGGCTTTTCAAATTCTCTGGCTCTAAGGCCCGGACCCAAGGGCCCTGTGGAGTGTGACACTCTCCCCAGTGTCCCTCTGCCCTGCACGCTGCCGGGAAGGCACAGCTGAAG